CCAGGTATAATTTAAATTTAGGTATTTTTCCATTGTTTTTATGTACTAAGTTCTTCCACCACAGGTATTTGCAGAGGTATCTCACTAGAAGAGTAAAAAATTGGCTGCATTAGAGGAGAAGTCAAAAAAATCTGTATTCATTAAGTAATGAAAACTTCCTTTCTGAGGATCATTTAAATCTGTAGCAACTTTCATGTAACAGCTGTTGAGGTATTTCACTAAAAATCCCAAAAAATCAACCTTGTGGTAGAACCACAGTAAAAACGTCAGGAGAGACTGAAGTCAGTTAGGATGCATCCTCTGGGGACCATGATCGTCTGTGCAACATTTAATGCTTTTACTTTTGCTGTTGAGATTTGTCAGTCTGGTGGTGGTGGATGAACTGACGTCACCTTACTACAAGCTCGGCTAAAAAGAAAAGTGCATGTCAGACAAGAGGAGGCGGAGGCGGCAGATTTGTTGTTTTACGTCGTGTAGTTCTGTGAAAACAAATTAAAGTGAAAGAGATTAAAGATGCAGCGAGCAGGGGCGCACAAACAGTTTTAACAGGTCACTATCTATTGTTTTGTAATATGAGGCTTAATGTGGATTCAGCGGGTGAATCAGTGAGAGGGCGCGTTCTGTACCCCGCCACTATCATCAAATTAAATTCACACACACACACACAGCCCCTCCTGCACATGCACACACGCCATCATCATACACACCACCACCGTAATAGATTTGGATCGCTCATTCACACTATAACGCACACACACGCTTCGCAATCCCATAATCCCACTCCAGATTGAGAACACCTTTAAGATACGAAGTGATTATGATTAGGGATTATGATCAAATTATGACAGAGTGACAGATTAGACAGGGGTTGTGTGTGTGTGTGTGTGTGTGTGTGTGTGTGTGTGTGTGTGTGGTGATGCCACAGCAGCACACACAATCATTTATGAAGACGTCTTTCTCTATACAGCGTTCTGCTTTAATTTGACATTTATACTGTATAGTGAAGTTTATAGTGAAGAGTAAAAAATATTATTTTGTCGCCCAGAGGATGGTTGTCGGACGGTAAGAAGGAGGAATGGATCACTTCCAAATTTGTAAAAATGATCCTTTAGCATAGAACATGTAGGGTTTAGAGAAATCCTTTCAAAAAACATGAGTCTGTCACTTTGTACATGTATGTACTGTGTGTATTTTATCTTGTGTGGTGAGATTAATTTGTCACTGACTGCTGTTTCCAATATGTAGATCATACTGGATCACTTCAGCCATTTACTCTACATCTTTTAAAGTCGTAATAATTTGTCAGTTTTACTACCCATGTTTAAACAATAATATGCAATAAAATAAAGAATTAAATTTTTTTATTGTCGTTTATTTTTAAGTTGTTCATGTTCATGTGATATTCTTATGGGTTCATATTATGTACACAAGGGTTTAAGTGTATTGTTGTGATTTTTAAACGTGTGTTTGGATTACACTGAAATGAAGGAAATAAACTAAACTCGATTAAAGTTAAACTTAAGTTTAAGCTTCCTGCTGCTACGAACTGGTTTGTATCTCGTGGTTTGTGAAAATGAATTTTGCAGATGTATTCAAACTTTACTGAAGTATCACAGGACCTTGTGCAATAATAAATCAGTGATTATTCATACTAGTTGTGTGTCTTTGTATGTATCTTACACAAGCGTCCTTGGGTCTCTTGAAAGGTGCTATATAAATTCAAGCTGTTATACATATTCTGTATTTTTCATTACATACCGTGTTGAAAACTGTTTTATGCACATTGGTTATCAACTATTGCAGACTTCATGAGTGAAGAATATATTTTGTGGATTTCTGCAATGAAAAGGATATGAACACTGCAGCAAACAGACATTTAAAAATGAGTCTTCCTTCAAATATCAATGCATGACTTTTACTTTTCATTCCATGAACTTTAAAAAGGTAATATTTAGTCTGAATACTATTTCTTTGTTTCTTTATCTAATTTTCCTCCAACTCCTGCAATTCAAATGAATGAGAAAGTATTCAAACCATTAAAATCCTTCAGCCCTTTTAAATGCATCTGTCATCATACTTTGTGCAAGAAACTTCATTCAAGAGTTTCAGCTTTTGAGGTGTTATTCAACCTTTTGATATCATGTACCATTTTTGAATAATTGCAGTTTAGGTTTTATTAATGTTAAGATTTTACAGTGGGTGTGTATGTGAGGTTCTTGAGAATGGAGACTTTTATCTGTTCAGTTTTTCCAACACATTTTTGTGTTTCTTCTCGTGTCTCTCATATCAACACAATCTGAGGCTCTTGCACAGTGTGCCTCCACACTGACACCACGAACATCAAGATTTTATGATGTTCTGCTAATTCAACTAATATTCAACCTTTTACAGTTTGAAGATTTGACATTTTTTCTTTTCTTTCTTTCTACGCTGTTGAAGGTTCTCCTGGGGAATTAATAAAATACTTCCTCACCTGCAGGAAAGTCTCTGCTCATTCTCTACTTCAGGTCAAACATCAAGGTCGACTTGAACCGGGTCCCTGCAGCTCATAAGACCTTTGGAGTCTTAACATGGTGCTAATACAAACACACAACCCTCAGTGTAACACAATTCATCCTGTAAAGAAGGAATAACAAACATGTAACAAAAACAGAACCTTTAAATATGGACATTTTTGAAATGCTAGTTTTTAAAAAAAGATATTTCACACACGTTAGCGGCCTCCATGAAGCTGCACAAGCATCCACAAATGACACAACTTGACTGATTGAAATACGCAGCCACCGCTGGGTCCTTGGCAGGTATTTTATTTCATATATAGACGCTTTCTGTAATCAAATGTGAGTGCAATCAAACAACAGCAATACAAACATTACCAATGCAGTCTGAGAACCAGGAACAGGGTTAAAACAGGGAGTTCACTCACTCTACACAGCGAGCAGCTAGTAACCTCATGGCCAACATTAAAAAAGAAAAAAAAAACGTTCCTTTGTCAGGACAGTCCGCCGTTATGTGTACCTCCGACTGCGATGGTGAGGAGGGCGGTGGGTAATCGTGTCCGATCCCCCACCCTCCTACCTTTACCCCTCCTCCTCTACAGGAAGTCCAACCAGTGATACAACAGCCTCCCCACCACCACCATGAGTCCAACTCGCCCTCAGCTCTTCAGTAAACTAAATAACCTCCCATTTCCCCATCATGATTATCATCGTCATCATCCTAATATTATGAGCAAAGAAGAAAAAAAAACAACTAAAAAACAACTCATTTCCACTTCTCACATGGCTGGAGCCAATCAGAGCCCAGAGGTCCTTTGGGTTCAGTCAGTCTCAACCAATGGCTGTCCGATCTGGGGTCGACAAGAAAACCACATAGCTGTACATGTGGAACCAAAGTCCTCATGCAGTGCCCTGCAGTGGCACATAACGTGCACAGGTGGAAGTGGGAGTTGGTGGGGGTGTTTATGGTTTTGGTGTCTGTGTGTTAGAGAGTGTGAGTGTGTGTTATTGTGTGTGTGTGTCTTTAACGAGGGGGAGAAGCGAGGGTGTTAGGCAATTATCAGACCCAGGAGCACGAAAAAATCGTCCAGAAGAAGAATTACAAAGTCTCTCTCCATCTGTCTTCTCTTGGCCCTCCACGAAACACAAACCCATCTCTCGCACATACAAACACACATACGCAGACACCAACACACACACACACACTATAGGTCCTCATGTCCTTGTGAAGTAAGGTGTTCATTGTCAACATTCAAGAAAAGAAAAGAAAAAAAAACACCTCAATGGTAAAAATCATTTCTACCATCACAATGCTTCAGTTCATAAAACCTTGACATGTCTGAAAAAGTGAATTTGTTTTGTTTTTTTAACCTCCAGGTTTAAAGCAGTATGCGTGTGTGTGTACTTGTCGTTTGTCATCTTTGTCCCACTGCTGCAAACACACACACACACATGCACAACCAAGATACGCACTCACGCACTCCAAGACACACCACATGTCCTCTTTTTTTAAGTGGAGAAAGACACGGCGCAATGGAGAGACACCTCCTCCTCTGGGCGGACGAGCCGGTCACCGGGAGGAGACGAAGGGGGATTATTGCCACGGCTACCAGGGGTCCTCCAGCTCACCGGTGCTCTAGGCAGGTAAAAAGCAAAAGGAGATGGAGAGTTGTGTGTTAGCTTTTTTTTGAAGCTGCATCTTCTTATGCACACAATATTTACCATACAGCTCCTGATGCCTTGAATAGAAGTAGATTTTTAACCTTACTGCCCTCTTATGAACTCAAAATGAATGGATAATGGTGAAAGACAGTGAGATCCCCCTGCCCGGCCAGCACGTTGAGACAACCAGAACCCAGACCTCTGATGACTCACCTTGCGGAGAATCACAAGGCCAACTGTCAAGACTGAAAAACAGGGGGGAGAAATGGGAGAGAATGTCCCTATAAGACCACGCACCTTCCCTCTCGCTAATCACCACCGGCTCAAGCAGCGCAGTGGCAGGCATTTATTTTCTTTGACATGTTTCAAACCTGAGAGCTGATGTTTATTCTTAAAGGAGACGACAGATTAAAATGTCTTTAAGCAGCCAACGTAAAAATTACAAGTTTAGGGCGAGAGCTGAAAGCTGACAGAAGAGGGCGAGGAAGGTAAGGATTTATTTTCCGCTCAAGCTGCTCATAAAAACTTCACAGCCTAGGCCTGCACAGAAACATACACAACACATTTAATATTGTTAAGGATACAGAAGAAAACCTCTAAAACTTCTGAGGGAATGGTATATTATGCTACCAAATCATTTTCAGCTCTGTTTAGGATTTTTTGTGATTTGTTTGTGACATGCAAATGGTGAAATATGACTTTTTCAGCTTTTTTTAAATCCCTAATCACGACCCTGATTTGCATATCTGCAACGTGACTCACTTGGCATGGGACTAACAGACAGAGAGGAAACAGCTGTACAGCCAGTTTACAGAGAGACACTCACTTGACACAAAGCTGTAGCATGATACCTCAAATCATTTTTATTTGTTCATTTGTCATTTTATTAATGGTGTGGGACTGATTTGGCCCACGAAACCCCATACAAATACAATTCATACATACACACACGCGCAGACAGACACACAGTGTTTAGCATAACCTCGCCTCCTGATAGCTAAGTGCTTTAGATATTGTAAAGGATAAGGGCAGTGCATGCATTACCAGAGTGACTGGGTACAGTGCATTATAGACTCCCTCTTCCTGCTTTCATAGAGGAAGAATAAACACTGTAGCTTCAGCAGCCTGTTTGAATCAAAACGTCTATAATGAGCTATGAGTTTCAGATTGTTTCTCTCTGAATAAAGTCATAAACTGTGGGGAATGAAATATGCTGGATGTGGGGGAAGGTTTTAATTAAGTCTTAATTAACTCTCTCTCAGAAAGCCACACTTAACAGCATCTGGCAGCATGAGCTGTTGGAAATGTATTAAAACACAGGTATAACAACATGTCAACATTACTGATTATAGATGCACAACTCTCTTGTTAAACACATTTCTTTGTTTACTCCAGGTGTGACTGAGGGTATAAGTGCTGCATCAGGCCTGGATTGGATATGCTCAGCCACGCTACATTAGCAGTGTGACCTTATGGATGTGATAGTGGTTGGCCAGGTCCAACATTTTGGTCAAAAGGTGCAGCATGAGATGTACTAAGAAACAATAGTGGTCTCAGTCACCTATCTAGTGCCATTATCAAGTCAAGTACTCCACTTGCTGTCTTCAGCTCCTTACAGAAAACCTGTCAGATTAATGACATGAATGCCAACATAGCCTGCTAGCATGCTAACATGAGAAATGTTACCATATTAGTAAGACACTACAAACTGAATTTTAGGATGCTAACAAGTGTAATGCTAAATTTTAGCATGCTTAAGTGTATGCCAACATGTCAGCTGTACGTAGGTTTGAGCACTCGTCCCTTAGAACGTACTTAAACCCACACTTCAATCTTTCCCTAAACCAACTGTGTTTTGCCCTCTCCAGTGTCACACCAAGAAGAAGCAGATTTTAACCTCTTTGTGCATGATTGTGAGGCAGCGTGACTTAACTGTGATGGTGAAGAATTAGGGATATGTGGTGAGAGAATGATTTCAATCAACTGTCGCTCAAACTACAAGTAAACAACAACCCCACGCATCCCTCTGTTGTTTAACTGCCCTGTGATTGTGCTGATAAATGGGTTTACACTCACGTATCATCCGTTATCAAAATCACAAAATGCGTGTAGAGGTGATTGGTCTCTCAAACTCTGGCGCACACAAACACACATACATACAAACAAACACACACACACATATACATAAAAGAGTGTGTTCTGAGTCTGTAGATGGAGTAGGCCTGGGGACACAGCAGTTCAGAGTGTCCCCTCTCCTTTTCTTTGTCCATTGTAAGCAGGTGTGAGGAGGGGAGGCTGGGGAGAGGAGGGGTTCAGGTAGGAAATCAGCCAGAAGCCAACACCAGGAATCGTGGAGTGCTATGTTCAATTTTTTTTTTCACAAGCCACGTTTAAACTCAACAATAATTCACCTTGATTCTATTGTAAACATGAGTGTGTGTGGTCAAGCTGTAAAAGTGGCTTGGTAAGTTTTGGGGAATCAAAGCCGAGGTGGTCAGGAGGAAAAGGGGGAAAGAAAATCAGGAAGCGAAAGAGTCTTCATTAGGTTAATGTAATAAATGTGGCTCGCAGACAGAACTTGAACAGACAGAGGGGCCATTTGTGTTTCCAATGAATTGTTAAAATATTGTTATGGGTATATGTATAGCAGCGAAGGCTGAAGGCAAAACCAGAAATGGCCGATGTGTCAATTCAAATTCTGTGCTGCAGGAAAGCAGAGAGATCATAGCTGTTGACTAGAGCACTGGAGTCTGAGGGAGAGATGGTTTGGTGGGTTGGTATGCAGGCGGGGTGCTCAGTCAGAGGAGGGATTAAACTCAGGGGTGGGCGCATCCTGGCTGGCCTCCGGTTCTGCAGTGGCAGGTGAGGGCGGGGGCGAGGGGGGAGAGGGAGGGGAGGCGGTCTGCTCCTGGCCGTCATTATCAACGTTGTCGTCCGAGGTCCTCCTGCTCGCCCCTGTTCCCTCAGCAGCGCTCTCCCCCCGCACATGGTAGGTGGCCAGGGACTCCTCCAGCACCGCACGGTACTGCCCCCGGTGGTGGAGGCGGAACTGCCGAAGAGCCTCCAGCAGATGTGCCGCCGTACTGCCACCTCCCTCCTCACTCTCCTCCTCTCCCCCCGCAAAGGCCTGAGGTGACACGCCAGGGGTCAGACTCTGCAGGCACGCTCCATGGTCAAACACACACACGTACATCTAACAAGCAGTGCCACAATACTCACATCATTTACACAAATATCTACCACACACTAGCATGACAACGTCAGAGACATTCTTGCTCCAGTCGGACAGGCCCATGCAAAAGCTACCTCTGACCTTGTGGCCAACAACCCTTTGTGATTTTCGCTGTGTGGTGTAACAGAGAGAAGGGGGTTTGGTCAGAAGCCACACAGCCCAGAGAAAAGAGCCTGCAACTCAAGACTCCACTGACATTAATGTGACAAATAAGCTCATGTGCCCACTGCTGACACACACGCCCACTGCTGACTGACACACACACACACACACACAC